GATCGGATCGAAGCATCTTGATTTTCCTGCCCAATTGATTCTCCACTTCATTCTTGAACTCTTTGAACTTTTCAAAAGTTTCTGACTTTTTCTTGATTAAGTAGATATACCCATATCTACTATAGTCATCGGTAAAAGTCACGTAGAAGCGGTTTCCATCCTTCGTGGTAGATCGAAACGGTCCACACACATCGGTATGTATGAGGTCCAATAGACCCTCACCCCTTTCGCACGTACCAGCGAAGGGTGACTTAGTCATCTTTCCAAGTAAACAAGACTCGCATGTGTCATCTTCCCTAAGGTCGAATGACTCCAACACTCCATCCTTTTATAGTTGGGCTATGCGTTTCTTGTTGACATGTCCAAGACGACAATGCCACAAGGATGCCTTATCCATACTATTGGAAGAATCCATGCATTAAACATCATTTCCTAAGTTATCAACAATCATAACAGTTTCATAAATTCCATTACATGATATAGCTTCAAAATAAAAGACATCATTCAGATAAGCCAAAATAGAACCATTCTCATTACTGAAAGAAAATCTAAAACCTTGTCTAAACAAACCATGAAATGAAATGATGTTTCTAGCCATTTCTGGCGAATAGCAACAATTGTTTAAATCTAAAGATAAACCATTCCTAAGCACTAAAGAATACACTCCAATCTTGGTCACAGGCGACGATCTTCTGTTCCCCATGATTAAATTTATTCTTCCATGCTCCACGTCTCTATTTCTTCTTAGTCCCTGCACATTAGAACAAATGTGGTAACCACAACCGGTATCAAGAACCCAAGAAATATCATGAGATGAATTGTTAGATTTAATTGTGTATATACCTGCGAAAGACGGCTTGATCTTTCCTTCCTTGATGGCTTGCAGGTACTTTGGGCAGCTTCTTTTCCAATGTCCTATCTTGTGGCAGTGGTGGCACTCTGCCTCCTTTGGGTTAGGGCAGGGCTTAGCGGGATCAACTTTGGTCCCACTAGAAGAGGCACCATCTCGGGCTTTAACCTTGCGATAGTTCTTAGACGAAGCCTTCCTCTTCTTTCCCTTTCCTTGTCCAATTGCTAAAACAGGAGCGGCGGGCAGATTGGGAGTTGGTGCTACAAACTTGTCCTTGAAGTTGCTCTCAGCGACCCTCAAGAGACCTTGGAGTTTGATTAGGGTGACGTCTTCTTTGTTCATCTGATAGGTCATCCTAAATTGATTGTAACTTGGAGGCAAAGAGTGAAACACCATGTCCATCGCCAAGTCTTCCCCAAAGTCAACATTTAACTTGCGAAGACACTTGACATACCTTTGCATCTTTTGCAGGTGCACGGTAAGAGACTCTCCATGACCCATCTTAGCGGAACTCATGTTAGTGAAAATCTCATAACGCTCTTGTCTCGCGTTTTGATGGTGTCTCTCCAACAAGTCTTGGTGCATTTCGTACGGATACATGTCGTCGTAGGACTTTTGGAATTCAGAGTTCATAGTGGCGATCATGATGCAATGTACCTTCGTTGCATCACGCTCGTGAGTTTCAAAAGCGGTCATCTCGGCCGGAGTAGCGATTTCAGGGTTGATTTTCTCGAGCTTCTCATCGAGGACATACTCCTTATCCTCATAGCGAGAAATCGTGCGAATGTGTCTTATCCATTCGCTAAAGTTTGTTCCATCGAAGATGACCTTTTGACAAAGGCTCATCAAAGTGAATGAACTAGCAGCAACGTTGTTAGCGTTCGACATCTACAAATAGAAAGGACAAAGATAGATTAGAATATGAATCCCTAATTATCACCCAATAAGAAAACTTAGGGCTAGGATCCAACAACAATATTTACACATTAGAAAAGGCATGTCGTAATCTAATATGCAAACAATTTGAAGGTAAGTGAATAACGATTCACTAATTCTCCACCATGAAAAACATAATCTTTATGTCCTAAATGTATTGAGAATTCCTAGGTTCGGATGAGATTCATTGAAACTTTTCAATGACATGTTTAAATCTCGATATGCCCCTCTTGTTTGTGACTGGGATACCGAGGATCACAAAGAGGGTGTGAATTACCATGCAAATTTACATGGTGCCTTCATTGTAACGATCACCTATTCGATGTGCCGGTAAACCATACACGCTCCATCGAACTATGATAAACAATGAATCACCCTTTGCCACCTTCGCTTAGAACCAATTAGTGTGCCGGTAAACCACACACGCTCCACTAACTTCTTAGCAAGGTGCAAAGTGTAATTTCATGGGATTAAATCAATTCACTTTTCCTAAAGTAACTAAGATTGGGAAATTTTAAGAAAAACATGTAGTTACTTTGTATTTCATATTATACTTTTAATAAGTGGATGAGCTTGCCATATCCTACCCGTTTGGCTAACGACCCTCCACTGATCAAGCAAGCGGTGGGTGTGAGTGTACACCCATTAAGCGTCATTTTATAGGCCGCAACCTTATACCCACCTTATAGACCAGCTTCGTGAATGAGGCCTAGTAACGGTAAGACTAGCATTTAAGTTATATATATATATATATATATATATATATATATATATATATATATATATATATATATATTAATCTTGTAATATTATATTAGTATAGGGTTGGATTTTAAACTTGTAAAATTCTAGGGTTTGAAATTTAAATTGTCTAAATTAAACTTTTAATCACAAAACATAACTTTCAAAACTTGAGGGCAAGTTTTTTAAACATTTAAAACATAAACGATCAAATAACAAATAATTCAAATTAACAATTAATCACATAATTATCCATATTTGATTTATTTTTGAAAAACAGTTTACCAATTTAATCAAAATAATTAATAATTATCATATAAGGAAATTAAATATTTTATTAATTGATAAATATCTTTAATTAGATAAAAAATATAGTCATATATATCATAAAATCGGATTTGGGTTGATCTAATATGATAAAGGTAAGTTTCCATAAGATAAATATGAAAAAAATCCCGATTTTGGCTCTTCCTGATGCTCAGACTCGCCGAGTACCCAATCTGGACTCACCGAGTCAGGCCAACTCGCCGAGTCCACTATGGGACTCGCCGAGTCCATGACTCAGAATCATAAAAATCGAATTTTGCAGGTAAGATTCAAACAATCAACCAACAATTTAATAGAAACCAATCTAGTCTTTGATACCACTAATGGGTTTTGGACATATGAACATTCCTATGTGCATATACAAACCCTAATGATTGGATCTAGGTTTCTATAATTAAACATGCATTGAATCCAAGACTTCTAATGGCTAATTAGGTATAAGAACAATACAAAACAAGAGTTAGAAGCTTGCCTTGAAACACTTGTTTGATCTTCTTATTCTTGGAGCTTTAGAGTCACAATTGTCACTCCTCTAATGGCTTACAAACACCAACTAGTAAAGAGAATGATTTGAGAGAGAGGAGAGAGGAGGAAATCAGCCAGGGTTTCCTTGTTGTAGAAGAGGTGTTGATTTCCCTATCCCAAGGGGTCTATTTATACTTGTAAGGCTCCTAGGGTTTCACCCTTAAACCCTAATTGGATAACTTAGACTCTAAGCAATCCTAGTCCTTTCCTTAGATATGCCTTGGATGATTTTGAGGCTTATCCTAGCCCTAGAAATCATCCATACCCTATCACTTAAGGATTCATAGCCCAAAGTGTAACTATCAAACAATTGACAGTTTATACCCTCTTATTTAATTAGTCTCTTTAAGTCACCAAAATAATAGTAATTAATCTATGACTTATATTAATCAAATAACAATATTATTATTCCTTATATTATTCTCATAATATATTAATAATATCTATTCTCTCATAATAAATCATCCTGTCAAGTTGCTATGGTGAAGGCAACCCAAAAGGACCATGCATAATTGGGTCAAATACCTGCCTAATATACTTGCAGCCTTAGACACTATTCGAACAAAAAGCACATATGAATCTGATTGTCAAGATATTATATCTCATTTCGTGGTTCTAAAAGGAACATATATTGGACTGGTTCAACACCCACTGGTAATTCATTGTTGAAATACTGAGTTTTATAAGGAAGAATAAACTTGGTACTTTTAGATTGTCTGGGAGCACCAATTTTGCTCTAGGAGGATGCTCATGATTGACCAACTGATGATAAACCAACTGATGACACATGATTTAGCTTCTTGACATTGTTGAGTAGCTGTTGTATTGCCAACTTCACTTCTTAAGCATGAACACCCTTATGTTTGTTGATATTTCCTTGAACTTGAATCCACTTGCTATATCCAAAATTGACTAGATCATGAGCATAAGCAACTTTAGTATATTCATATTCTGATTTCTTTCTAACCTAGTGAAGCTTTAGTGACTCATTCATCAGTTTGGTGCATCTCACTTTGATGATAAGATCAGGATTTGACCTGTGAGAAAGAATATCTCCAAACTTCTTCCTATCAATTCGGTCATTCAGGTTTGAAACAAAGTGCCATTTCTCTACGTTATTATTGAAGATTTTCTTAACTTGATTATCAATGCTTTGAATATTACCATTTTCACCAGTGGATGCTAGACCTTGAGCAAGTTTGGTAGAAAAGCATTCTTCTTTTCTTTCTTCTTTCTTTTGAAGAAAAACAACATTATGTTCTACCATTATTTCTCTAATTTACTTAATGGGTAAATTCCATGTTTCTGCTAATTCATTTAGATCAAAGATGATTCTGATTTTCTTTTTAGGTGGACATACTGAAGAATTACCAACAGTAGTGGAAGAAGAGCTTCCAGGTTCAGTATTATGAGCTCCCCCTAAGAATGAGGACTTCCTCTTTAGAGGATTGAGCTAATCATTTTTGGAGTCAATATCACTATCAGTTCCTTGAGGAACCTCTTGAGAAATCTCCCCCTAAAAAAAAGAACTAGGATAGACAACATTTAATGGAAAAATAGGAACAACAACTTGTGGCATAAAGCCAAGATCAAGAAACCCTTCACAATCTTCGGTCTCTAATTAATCACCAAAGTTAGGGATGGGCTGATTATCTACTATTACATCAACATCAGCATTTGAAATATTATTAACAACAATCTGCTTTTGAGGATCAACTTCAGCTTCAACACTTCTAGTCATATTAGGCTGAGATGCAATCATCATCTGCATTTGCATTGGCTGAGGACTCTCTTGATTATTCTCCTGCTTTTTGGCATCATCATATTGGGGAGGAGAGTTAGGAGGAGTGATCGGAGGGGAATATGATGGTGGAGGAAGATTTATTGATGGAGGTGGAGGTGGCGGAGGTTGATCACTTGTAGAGCATGGCAAGGTGTCATCAAAAACCATATAATCATCATTACCTAAAGTTGTACATTGCTTAATTATAGCCACATACTTTTCAACTTTTGTTAACCTTCTATCCATTGAATGAGTAATATGCAAAATTAAAGAGAGTTGGGAAAGCATACCATTTTGAAATTTGGAGCTGGATGCTTCCTGATCACCGTGATAAAGAGAAACAATTATAATGGGTGTTTCCGTAGGGTGAATTATCTCAACTTGAGGAATAGTAACAACTTGAGGAGAAGGAGATGTTTTTGGAGAAAGTTCAACTTGGATCATTGGATCGGTAGTATCTCCAACAGGAGGGGTTGATCCATGAGGTATAGTGTCAGCAATAGAGGAAGAGGATGAAGAAGCAGTTGAAAAATGAAAGTGTTTGTTCAACCTTGGAGGAGAGTTCATATTCTGAATGAAGTCTTCTCCCATGTCAGCTATTGATTCTTCTTCATCTTTATCAGCATCTTCTTCCTTATCAGCCCCTTCTTTATTACCAGCTTCTGAATCATCATCATTCTCATCATCATTATCTTCTACAACAATAATATCATCATTATCATCGTCCTCATAATCACTATCTTCTTCATTACTAGCATCATAATTATCATGCATTATCCTCATTAGAGTCTGAGGATTCAAGCACATAGGGTTTTTCAATCCACTTTTGCATCCATGAAATAATAGGCAAATTACCCTAAGATGGAGCGGCATTGATAATTTTTAAGGAGAGGGAAGGAATTGGAATAATATTTCCATGACTTTCAACATAGCCTTCTTCTCAATAAAATATCAGGCCAAGATAGCGAGGATAAGGAACATTTAATTGCTTTTTGTTTCCAGTAATGTAGTCAATCATTTGACCAAGAAAAATTTGAGCAAATTCTATTCTTTTGTTGTAAACAATGGAGTATAAAATCCTTTTCCCAACGAGATTCATTTGATGGAATCTCCTAGTCTTGTGTCCAAGACATTTGCTAATTATACCTGTTAAGTACTTTCATCCTACATTAAAACACTAACGAAGAGTGTTCTTGTATGTATCACGAGTGCAGCCTAGAATATTAAATTTATACCTTAGTTTTTCACGAATAGATTTGCAACTTTCGTCAGAGGGAGTTTCAAAGTAACGTTCAAATTGAGGATTACGAAGAGTAGTTCGAACGGATTCCACATTAATGGTAACCCTATATTGACCATCTCCAATGGTTCCCGTAATGGCTCGAGCTTCAGAATGAATAGATCATGAATAATATAATTTAGATACTTGTTTAGAGTAGAACAGGTCAGGAAATTCACAGAATACGTATCTTAGAGGGCATCTTTTGTCAAAGTTGATGAAATATTTAATTCCTAAGTTTGCTAAATGCTTTGGAATTTCATCCAAGAACACTAGATTAGTGGATTGAATGATGATGGTAGAGTCGGAAGCATGAGGACCTTTAAGGACATTAGCATTGGGTAAAAATTCTTACAGAGACTTTGACATGGTGAAAGATTTGAAGAAGATGATGATTTGGAGTCTTTTTGAGAGAGAGGGAGAGAGAGAGAGACAAAGAGAGAGAGAGAGAGAGAGTGTGTGTGAAAGAGAGAGAGAGAGAGAGTGAGTGAGTGAGAGCTTAATTGCTTGTAAAGGTGACCTAGGATGAAGAATTCCCAATGTATATCCAAAAAGTTTCTTCCTTTTTACATAATCATGAGTGACGATATATGCTTCGTAATGATCTCATTTCCTAAGATAATGAAGAATCTTTTTAGAAGTTATCCATAAAGTTACCGTTGAGACAAGGAAATTACATCAATGAGATAAGTCATCAGAAGCAATGAACATTATCTTAAATGATCAACAAATGAATTTGTGATGGTCATATAGTCAGTTTGTGAATTATCCTAATAGTTTGGCCTAACACTACCATTAGCTAACATAGTATTGCGAGATCTCATCAGCGTGTGGTTTCATACGCTGAATCATAAATCTATTTTATTAGAAAATAAAAGGGAAGAGTTGATAGGTGCATGTAATATATCACCAACAATGATATACCCATCGACACAAATTTGTCAAGCTCTCATCAATGTACGATACATTACACTGATTCATAAAATTATAAAGAAGCATATAAGGGCAACAATGGATCTGTGAGTATGATAGCCTACAGTACATAGACTAACCATCGACATATACTTTAGAACTTTTATTGGTATGTGGTTTTACATAGTTAATCATCAAGTTCTATTTTAGAAGACTTGTGGAGAGAATGGATTGTTTTAGTTACATTGAGGTAAAATTAGGGTGAATCATTAACAATTTGAATCATCAAAAAGAAGTGGTTTAAGTTCCGTATCATGGAGTAAGTTGCAATCTAGAATTAAAGATTCACCATTAAATCATAATGCTACCACGTCATGCCTCAGACTAAGAGGTTAGGGACATGAACAACCCTTTGTAATTTAAGGACCAAACAAGTAACTCTTACGCTGATGACTATGCAATCAGGGTAAGCTATTAGGTTATGCTCAATGTTTCAGCAGAACATGAGACTTGATGCATACGGAAAGCATGATTCCGTGGACAGGGGCCGGTGAAGATGATTAAATTAAAAATAAACACCCCAGAATTTCTATTAATATTTTTTCATTTAGACCAGACAATCTCGTTTTGAGAATTTAGAAAATGCTAGACAATCAGCGAGCGAGGGTGACTCAATGTTCTCAGCTGATGGTCTCGCAATGAGAAACTTAGAGATATATTGTCACATACAGTAGCATGCTTCTAAGGACAATGAAGTGTCAAATAGTTGCATACTAGGCTTAGAGTTTCCACTGTTGGATTCCTTTTGAAAATGGTACAAACGAATACACAATATAAGAATACAAACACAAGAAGTAGTAAAAAAAATAGTTTAAACAGGTAAATATATGAAGCTTTTTCAGAAAGGTTATAAAGACTCAATCCATTAAATCTTTAGAATTTCATGGTCATTAATGCATTTCGATTTTCCAAGATATCTACCCTTGAATTTTTTTCTACAAAAGAGAACAAACAAGATAAACCATATCACACAAAAGCAACACAATTCATAGTAAACAAGGAGAGAGAATGCCTTTAATCATTGAGGTTCTGTAGATTGATTCCAAGCTTTATGTTCACCAAGAACAAAAGTGGAACATGAATCGGTCTTTGTAACCAATAACTTAGAGGGATCTAATATTTATAGCGTTTGAGTTATGAGAGTCACCAAGACAGTATTCGAAGGTTCCATTCATTGAGATCCATGAAGGAGGAGAAGGTGGGAGCACTATCTTGTTTAAGAAGCCTTTTAATATTTGAGGTGATGAAGTTGTTGTGACAACGTCTCTAGAAATTATTCATGTAAGGTCACCTAACTTCATCGCATCCTATAGAGACCAAAATAGGTTGTTCACGATAGAAGATATATGTGCCTAGAAGAAGACCTGGTGGCACAATTATCCCCCATATGGTATCATCAACAAAAAGCAACATGTAAATCAGTGTGTGCATCAATGTCAGTGAGAGGGCAGTTGTTGCTGAAGAAAATATGCAGAGTAAGTGTGACCTAGCTCCACAAGGAGAGCGATGCACCCAAGGAATGCCATACTGATCCCTTTAAAGTAGATTATTCAGATAAGGTCACTATTGATAGAAATGATCATGTAGTAAATGTTTGAAGAAAAATGGACAATGTATACTCCTTTGGTAAAATAAAAAGATAAAAAGAAAATTTTAAAGCAGAAACTTATAGCTAGTAAAAAAAACTTATGTTGATTAGTTTAAAAGAAGCGAAGCATAAAGTAAAACTAAAGTAGAAAAGTCTTAAACCAACAAAATCAAACCAATATATATTGTTATCTCTAATTGCAATCAACACAATTTTGTTTTCGATATCGAACACCTTTCCCTTATGGCGACCAAAAAGAACCTTATAACCAACATCACAAAGTTTACTTATGGAGATGAGATTGTTTTTTAAACCTTTGACAAAATACACCTCTTTCAGCTTGAATACCCTACACTCATGGTTGTAACTTTTGTGATGACTTCTTCAATATTGTCACCAAAAACCACCTTCGGACCATCTCTCGGCACAAAATTTGCTAACAGGGACTTGTGACTGGTCATGTGTCTAGAGCATCCACTGTCCAAGTACCAAGTGTGTTCTAAATTCATACTTGATTCGGTGTCAGCGTGAGAACTATCAACATCACATATTCCATTAGGGGTATGATTTAAAATAGCTATAAATGCCTTGACATTTAACCCCTCATCTTTAGAAATCTCCTATTATTCTACCTATTCTTCATAATCCTCTTATCTTGCAATGAAGGATTTCTGCAGAGAAATGTTTTCTTTCTTCATATGAGCCACCAAATTCTTGTACAAGACTTCATATTTCTCAGGACTGTGGACTTCTTTCTTCTTCTCGCAGTCCCTAGCATAACGATTAGGGCTTCCAAAATTAAAGGAACTACCTGATTTTTCTTCTTACAAGTGCATCTCTTTGTTGAACTGATTCCCTTGAACTGAGCTCTTCTAAACCCGTTTGTTCCACTTTCTTCATAGCGCTTGACGATAAGTGTAGAACTGGAAAACAACTCATCGATGGGATCTTCATCACTTTCTTCACCCTGATCTGAATTATCTTAGTCGTTGATGTGCTTCATTGATTCCTTTTAAGACAACAGTGCAACAAAGTTTTTGTTGTTCGAGTCCTTCATGATTTCTTTACAAATAGGTTTGGTCTCTTCATAATTTTGCAGATTACTCAACAAAGAATACACATCCATGGTATCAATCTTTTCACCATTCTTGAGAACATCAGCGTGATGTTCCTAGCTTTTTCCAATAGAATCAAGAAATTTCAGAACCAATTAAGACGAATGCCTGACGATTCTCAGCCTGCGCATATCATTAACCAATCAGTTAAACCTATTGAAGGTTTAGGTAAGAGACTCACCTTATTGAGCAAAGAAATGCATGTATCTCTGATTAAGATTGTTGATGATCGTAGCCTTCATTTCCATAGTGACTTCATAATCCATTGTCATCGTATCCATCATCTCTTGGGGTGGTTCACAATTCTGTACAAGATGATACATGAGGTATGGAACCGAGTTTCCGATAATAGCCCTCGCTTTTACGTCAAGACTGAGTGGTGTCTTGTCATCATCATCATAACTTGTTTCTAGATTCTACTTTAGGCGTTGTTGACCATGGGTTGGTATATAGGAACATGGGGACCTTTTTCAACAATTTTTCTCATCTCATAGTCCACGGTTTCAAGAACCACCATGGCCTTGGTTTTCCACATGGTGATGTTGTGTTCATCAAAGGGATGAATTTTTTTGAGACCAAAGGATTTGGAATTTCTTGAAGTCGACATGATTACTTGAGTGTATCAAAAATCTGCTTTGATACCAATTGAAGGTTTGTATTGATCGGATACACTTCAAGTATAAATAATAAAAAGAAACCTAAATAATAAAAAATGAAGAATAGAATTTTAAAAGACATAAAGGGTTCTCCAAATTGTTTATTTCAACAATAAATAGGTTTTAGTGTCACCAAGAAGACAGGTTTGTCACGAAGATAATTGACACAAATCCACAATCATAACAATACAGTATTC